GTGTGTTCAATAAATGTTTATCTTGTTTGGCCCGCGACCTAAAGTGTGCCTTGAGTTTTGGCCCCCTGTGCAATTGAGTTTGACACCCCTGCCTTAGAAGGTACTCACAACTCACTGATATCCTCACAGTGATGGTTTAAACTCAAATGATTATACAAACACACACTCTCTCTCTCACACACACATATGCTTGCAGGGTTTGCCCTGACCTCTTCTCTTAAATCGATGCGGTCGCAAAAGTCGTCTGTCTGCTGAAATACCTGCCCTGCAGCACACACGCACGCACACACACACAGTTAGCTGAGTGTGTGTGTGTGTGTGTCCTCTGTCTTCTACACCCTCTCCCCCTCTCTCCTCTCTGACTCCAAACACATCTCCAGAGGCCTCCCACACACACACATTACCACACACACACACACACACACACACACACACACACACACACACAGATCGCTGTGAGGCAGTGAAGCAGATCCATATGGAAATATTTAAGTCTTTACTAATGTCAAAGACCCTCCATTCATACAAACACATCTCAGTGTACAGGCAGAACACACACACACACACACAGACACACACACACACACACACACACACACAGTGTTAATGTTTTAACTTCCTGTTAAACAAACAGATCTGGCCAGTGAGGTGTAAACCTGCTGTCTGTGAGTCGTTGCTCTCATGTTTCAGGCTTAAACCTTAAAGTAAAGCAGACAGAAAATGTGTGAAATGCATAAATAACTGCACAAGTACACAAAAACTACAGCTGGGTTTGGAGGGTAAAGGAGGACATGTGTCTTATGTCTTACAGAAAGGTATGAATTCAGACTTTGTCCTTCCTTTTCTTCCTGTCAGGGATGCTCTGGTTTATCCAGTGTGAGCATCCATCAGATGCTGCTGTAAGTTGATGCCTGAGAGTCATTTAGTCCACGGGACGTATACGGTTTGATCTCATGTCAACCCTCCTCACTGCTCTTTTCTTTTTACCATAAAACGCCACATTGTCAAAGTTCACATGGAGTCAGCCAATCAGTGATGTCAACAAATGAGCACTGGACTCCAGTGAAAGCAAAAGTGGCCTCCATGGAAAAGTTCAAGGAAAACACCACTGCTAGCCAAGAAGATCACAAAAGCAAACTGCAAACAAACATCTGGATGATCCCCGAGACTTCTGGGAAATCTTCTGTGGACTGACAAGAAGGAAGCTGAACTTTGTGGAAGGTTTCAGTCCCATTACATCTGCATCAAACTAACAGCTTTGTTCCCTTAATGAATGAAATCATCATTTAAAACCTGCACTCTGCATTTACTCAGGTTCTCTTTATTTGATGATCTGAAACATGTGAGTGTGACCAATATGTGGGGAAAAATGAAATAAGGGAGGGGCAGGTAGGTGAGATTGAACAGTTGGATGTGTGGGAGGGAGCCTGATGTGCTGGTCTCGGGTTTGGGTGGGACTTCAAACAGCTGATAGCTGGAATCAGAGGGGTCTGTGTGGGTGTTTAGGACTTCACCTGTTCTCCGTTTGAGCTCTGAGCTGGAGAACAGCGGGGTTAATAATGGGAGGAGTCACCAATGCTGCTCTGTCTCTCTGCAGCTCTGCCAAGAGGATAAAGTGCATGGAGGAGGACGTGGACAGCCCGGGGGAGGAGTCCTACTACCCAAGTCAGGGTCGGTCTCCAGGCAGCGGCAGCCAGGCCAGCAGCTGGCACGACGTGGAGCCAGGTATGTAACCACACCCCCAACGAAACCCCAGCCGCCTCCTCTAATAACAGCCCCGCCATCTTAATACCCCACCTGACCCCGGCCCTAACACTCCCCCCACCTCCACCATGCAGACTCTCGTCATCACACATCCCAGAGCTAACCTGCCGCTCCAACGCAGCCCAGCGGAGCGATGCTACCATGGTGCAGTGTGCAGGTGGTGCTTCCAGCAGGGTGTGTGTGTGTGTGTGTGTGTGTGTGTGTGTGTGTGTGTGTGTGTGTGTGTGTGTGTG